GCCTATGCAGGGGGTCAGACTCGATGATCTATTGAGGTCCCTTCTGACCCTAGAATCTATGAATCTATGCCCATAGCGTGCAGGCTGCAGATCGTGGCTCTGGAGCAGGCTGCCCCCATCACAAGATCCCAGCAGCTTCAGAGCAGCCCCCTGCCCTGCTCTGCTGCGCACACTACCGGCATGTCTAAGACTGTGGCAACCCCAACTTGAGCTTTCTGGCTTAGGTGCAGCTGGGGTCTCCATGGAGACCAGCTCAAGCCATGAGGGCAGGGGCTGCTGGGAAATGGAGTCTGGCTCCTGGCCAGTTGGGCCATTTTCCCCACTCCTGCTCCAGTGGATCCTAATGCCCATCTGGAAGGTGATCTGGAGGGCAGTTTGCAGGAGAAAACTCCAGCCCAGGTTTCATCTCTAGCTTCTGCCTTCCTCTTGTGACTCAGAGGGAGATCTCAAAGTAGGGCAGCTTTACCCAGCCTATTCCAAAAAAGGATCAGCTGGAACCAAAAGAAACCCATACACACAAAATGGGCAAGAATTAAATCTGGACATAAACGTACATATTTTGTAACAGACCCAGGATGAAAGAACCTCATAACAGCTAGCTAGACTCCAAGGTTCAGGCAGTAGATGCCAGGAAGAACTAAGACCACTGCACAAAGTTGGAAGTGTGTACAGTTCTGGTCAGCAGTGTTGAAAAGACAAGGACCTTACACTGTGTTTGCCATTCTCAGCTCAGGACATTAAGGTAGCCCTTGTGTAGTGGAAGGTGTTGGTAATGCCAAGTTGCAGGGATTTTGCTTATTGATACTTGGGGCAAGGAAGGAATTTTTTCTCCTTCTGAAACAGGACCGATTTCCAGGGTTTTTTTGCTTTCTCTTGAAGCATTGGCATGTCATTAGAACAACACTATGCTCTCTGGGCACTATGGATTAGAATACATTTCTGATCCAAGGTTAGTTCTTGGGTGACAGGGAGATGACTAGCTGGCTGAGAAGCTAGCCACCATGCCCAAGGCCTGCCATGCCATGAAGGGTGTGTGGAGAGAAGCCAAATTGCCTCAGGCCCTCCTGTCTGTCTGGTCCCTCAGGCCCTCCATATACTCCCCAACTTGGTAAGGGCTACTAAAAGCCACTGCCTCCTTGCTCCAGTGACTGAGATGCTGAGCTCCAGGCATACTGCATGGCCACAACAAATGGACTGAGCCAAGCCATGCAGGGGTCCTCAAAAAAGGACTGCAGGCTGCCTCAGACAGATGACACTCAAGGATGCCCTTTGGCAGGGATAGAAACAGAGATGGGAAAGGAGAGGTGATCATGATCTTTTTGTAGTTATTGTTGTGTTTTGAATGCTCTGTTTCTTTGGCAAGGGACAGTAGGTGGATACACAGATTTGGGGATGTTCATGTACCCAATGAGCATGGGAGATATGGATGTGGAACAGATAGAAAGGGAAGGAGGGGCTGGGTTTGAGCCAGGCACATGGGTGTAGGTAGGAGTGGAAGGTAATAAGAGGTTGGAAGGGGAAAATCGTTTTCTTTTGCAGCTTAGGTAAACATGGGTTGAGAAGGGAGGGTGGGTGGACGGTGGGGAAGCCATCATTGCCAGGGGTATGGCAGGTTGGGGTGGCTTGATATTGAATTTGGGGGGAGTGGGAGCTTAATTTTGTTGCATCTTCTTATGTTGCTGTGCTATTGTGTTTCTATGATATTTTGACTCCTATGGGAAGATGCCCTAAGCCTTTTTTTGGAAAGGCAGACAACTGGGAGAAGTTAGCCTGCTGAGTACTTCCAAGGCCATCCCAGACCTCATCTAGCACCCTCCTAGCAAGACTTGGGCTGTTAACTTTCAGCTTGTGCAGTGTTCATTTCAAAAAGGGTTTGTTATGGATGCAAGAAAGGACATGAGCCACTGTTGAATGCAAGTCCAGTTAATCAATGTAAGAAGAGGGAGAAAACCCGTGAGTGTTAAACTGCGTTAGACAAATGGTTTCTCTGTTAGGTATTCCTAGTGTTCCACGTTCTCAGTTTTTACCAATTTTCACTGATAAATTCCCTGATTTTTTTAAGTCATTCAGTTTTTACTGATTTACACCCATTTTTCAGTTCAAATCCCTGTTAACTGGCACAAGTAGAGAATGGCCCTCTCCCCACTCGTGCCAGTTAACAGGGAATTGAACTGAAAAATGGCTGGTGCTGGTAAGCTAAAAGTGTGGCTGTGCCAGTTACCTGAGGCACAAGTTTCCAGCTGGACGTGGGGGGGATGGTGACGGCAGTCGCATGTGGAGGGGGTGGCAGTGGCTGCATGGGGGCAGGAGTCACTGCCTGGGGGTGTGTGGCTCCTGGCTCTGACCTCGGGCAGGGCAGGACAGGCTGCAGGAATCAGTCCTGGGGCTCCCGGGGCAGCCAGGTCCAAGCTGCACCCATGGCTCTCTGTTACACATACCCCTTTTCTAATAGGTCTGGAGCCTTGCAAAACTTTTGTAGAGGACTGCAAAACTAGTTGAACCGCTGGACTTTTATGAAAGTTCAAAATGTGGTGAGTGTGGAATGAGACCTATACACTCATCTGCCTCTCTATTAGATGCAATCAGCCTTGCTAAGGTTTTTTCAGTCCCCCCACCCTCCTCGGTATTAGCCACCACCCTGTAAAATAAGATATAAGTGTGAAGGGTCTGAAAATACCTTTATTTGACCCCTGTTGTAGTGAATCTCCATTTCAATGAAGAACTCCCAACTGGCAACACATTTCTAGTATTTATTAATTGGGTGCCTGGAAGGGATGGGCACAGACATTCCTTGGTCCATGCCTCCCAGTATTCAGAGCTTGCTGCTTACACCTGGGTGAAGGTGCTGCCAAAGGAATTTCTGGATCTCCTTCCAAGAATGCTCCTGTGCTGCAACATGGGACTGGGCTTCTCCTCCCCATACAACAACACAGGCAAACATGGAGACCCATGAGTGGTAGCAGAATGGTGAGCCTGGGGGCTCAATCAGGTGTCCAGCACCTGGATAACAAAGCATGCTGTAGTTCTTCTTCCCATGCCTCCTCATTCTCTCCATCGCTTCCTCAGCAAATGCTTTGCTGTTGTAGTTCCTGTCATTTTCTCCCACAATGAAGAGGATGTTGGCTTCAGCTTTTTCTATAGGTAGGATGCTTCCCTGACTTGTCTCTGTGCGTATGACCTCAACTATGTCATAGATGTCCAGCTGTCCCATGGACCTATACCGTAAGTGCTCCAATTTGTAAGGGATTGGATTGATGTGTAGATTCCGGTAGCGAAGCGGCGTCCCATTGAGGGCACTGGTCGCATTAATGCAAACTACAGCTTTGATCTTGGGAAGGAATGATGCCATGGCCAGTGCAATCTCAGCACCTTTGCATACTGAGACCAAGCCAATCCCTGTTCCCTCCACCTGGAAACACAGCAGAGAGAAATGGGTTGAGCATGGCATGAATGCACAGTCTGTCAGGAAATTCATTCTCCCTGCCAAGAATCTGAATATGGGATTCAAGTGGTGTACCAATGACAGTGATGCGTACCAGTGGTGTACCACCTAAACACGTATATAGTGTGACAATAAGCCAGGTACCTGTATCTTCACTTGCAAAATTATGGTAAAAGTAGATAAGCATCTGATGGTCTAGGCTGGAAAGAAGAAGTATGCACCCCTGAATTACGCAACACATAATCAAGATTGCACCTACAGGCTGGGCAGGTCATTAGGTATGTGTAGTGGCCAGTTTTTACACATGTATCTGAGGCATTCATGCAGTCAGCATAGGTTCCTGCAATTATGAATATTATTCACAAGCATCCACCTTTCAAAATATACCTTCAGAACACTGAATTCACTTCCTGCATGTGACTGTCATAGTTACATTGGGATTTAATTCCCTGCCGCATCCCCTCTCACTTCCACCCAGACACACACACATCTGCTGCAAATGTGCCACACAGGCTTTGATGACTGGCTCAACCTATTTCTTTATTTGTTCACAAGTTTTAATCTGTATTGCTGGAAGAGTCAAATCATGAGCTCTGTAGTCTTTTTTCCAGCTCTTAACAGGCAATGCTGTGTGGAGTATACAACACAGTCATCTGTGGAGAAGGTCATAGAGAAGATGGCATCTCTCAAAGATCAAACTCAGCAGAAGGAGAACAAAGGGCTGTACACAGCCCTTGCCCTTCTAGGTATAGGTGTGGACTAGCCTGTTGCTGACTGCGGGGAATGTATGAAGGTCCATATAGTTACCACAGTCTTCCAAGGCCTGTTGGCTGTGTCCAGCAGTGGTTGGGCTAGGGGGAAATGAGGATGAGCTTATCTGCGAATGGAATGTACCTTGGGGTGTCTCAAGAGGACGTTGATGGCTTCCTCAAAGTATTCCAGATCCACCTCAGCTAGAATCTCAGGCAGGTCTTCATAACCAAAGTACGCTAGGGCAAGTGCAGCGAAACCACGACTGGCGAGAAGACTGGCTCGAAATTCAATAAGTCCACGCACACCACCAAACAGGTCAATCAGCCCTGGGAAAGGACCTTCTCCTAAGGAGATGAACAAGAAACCAGGGAAGCAAAAAATGAATGATTCTGGCTAAGCTGGGAGTCCTTCCTAATACCTTACAGCTCCACAGGCAGGGGCAGATCAGGGGGTGGGGAAGTGCAGTGGTACAGTCGCAGCCCTCTTTGATTCCTGATCCACCCAAACTTTAAAACCAACTGCCTGGCAGTGGCAGCAGCATTTGTATTCAGGCAGGAGTGAGGGAGTCACCTGACTTCATGGCTCATTATAATCTACCTGATTCCTTCTTAATTCTTCATTCCACAGGTGTTAACGACCCTCTCACCTTTTTAATGGTTTGAATGCTCTACTAATCAATGCACCCTTTCTTCTGTAATTCTGCTGTCTGCTAGCTGCTTTTGGTAACGTAGTTCCTATTTTTCAGGCCTGCAGACTTTCTAACTCTAGCTAAAAACATTAACTCTGGTGTGGAAAATATTAACTCAGATGAACATTAACTCTGGAGTGGAAAATATTAACTCAGATGAACATTAACTCAGGTAAGGGAAAAACTTTCAGTGAAGCACTAGATGCACTGTTAAGATCCTCAAGAAGACTAGATTTTTTTTTACGAACTGGAAAGAGAGATTATATTTAATTCTAATAACTACCAAAGTAATGAAACAACATCTTTTGATTATTTGTTGCCTAGTTTGTTGTGGGTTTTATCCATAATATGTGAAATAGCAGATTAATGCACATTCCAATAAAGTTAAAATTATTTGATTTTAAACCAAATAATATAGCCCTTGGCTCCTAGCATACTAGTAAAGTTTCTAGTTTATTTTTTTAACTGGAGAAAAATGTATTGTTACACGTGATAATGCACCACGTCACCTGCACCCCCTTTTCAAAATCCTAGATTTGTTCATATCCACAGGACTCCACTTTTTCTGTTTTTACACCATGCAGCTGGTTCCCAAGACTGGAGCAAAATTCTTGTATCTACCTGAAACAGCATCAGACAAGTCACCTAGAAAACCCAGGATAAACCCCAGCCTGCTATTGTGAAGCAGAATCCAGCCCAGTTGAAATTTAGTTCCATGTTACACATTCATTCAATGGCTCCATCATGATCCAAATGAAGATCTTCAGGGTTAGAGCATGGCAATGTGCATGACTGAATTTCCAAACAGTTTCTTTAATTAAATAGTGAAACTGTAGTCTAAGAGATTCCCTGTTTGTCCACAGATAAAGTGCAGTGAATGGAGTCCGTGTTACTACCTGGTCATCTTTGGTTTTTCAAATGCTGTTTTTTCCTGCATCTGCTGACCTTGGCCAATAAACTCTCCAAACTTCATCCTGTTTCCCTATTTACATCACTTGCTTTAATCCACCTCCAATCACATAATCCCATCTTCCAAAATGCCTTTATGCCTAAAGGAACACAAGTTGAGTAGTCAGTAAGAGAGTCTTGTACTTGGCTCCCTAGATGGCTCTTCAGCCATAGACAAACAGGGAGCTCCTAACCTATCATAAAACTTTGTAACTTCTAATGTCTTACAGACCCTCCAGCCTTGAAACCCAAAAGCATACTGCTCTACACCGTCACTTTCATCCTGGTGCTTCACAATGCTAAAACATGTGCTTGCACACACACACTTATCTAAGCCACTGTATTCAAACAGTTATACTCTCTGTATGGAAAAACCACCAACAGTTGCATGGCTGTCTGCAGACAGAGAAGTTGTCACTACAATGTGCACAGCTATTCTCAGTTTGTACCACCCTCAGAAACATAAGATAGAGAAAGAGGCACAGGACAGAAGGGAGAACGTATCTAGTTCTCCAGTGTTATCCAGTTATATAGAATTGAAATGAGATAAAAGAGGGCAATTGAGTGAAAACAGCAAGGAAAGTCTGTGAGGAGTTTCTCGGGGTTTTGAACAAATAGACTCTGATCTGTGTAAGTTTGCAGTCCTGGCATGTGTGCATGAGTCTGTGTTGTTTTTATCATAGCTTCTGGAGTTTACTGGCAGGTTAATTTGTGAGCACTGAGAACTTTATGCAAACACTGGCTGATATAATCCAAAAGGAATTTTAAGAACAGCGACAGAAGCACTCTCAGTGGAAATTGCATCCCAAAAGACACACTTATCTAGTGTGTTGTTATTTAGTCAAGCAACAACACTACCCCATGAGACCCATAACTGGTCAGCATAGATCAGGTTTGGAACATTCACAGGAAGCTGCTTGTGGTCAATCTGCTCTTTAGGAGTCCATTGGAGGAGCCATTTGGCAAATATCTTGGCATAACAACCACACTGGGGAAGCTTATGATCAGGGGATAGACCATTCCTGAATAAATAAATAAATAAATAAATCACTGCTGGTGGAATAAATCACTACATAAGGCAAGCTCTAGAATCGAGATGGAGGTCTTTTACCTGGTGGGAGGAAGAGGGCCCCACGCACTCTGCCATCCCTGATCAGGATTCGTTGGACTCCTGGTGCCACATGCCATCTTTCCACAGTCCGGCTTGTCACAGGTTGATCACGGGGTGTGGAAACCAAGTGGAATGAGCTGAACAAATCCAGGCGCACGTGGAATGGACTCTGCATCACATCTCTTTTCATCAACCTGTGAAACATCTTTTCCGGTTTCAAGAACTGGAAGAGACCCAGGGGGCGCATGCCAACATAATCTCCTCCCAGGGCAGCTGTGTGTTCCAGGTCAACCTCGCCAGCCTCATCAGACCTGTAGAAAGCTCTGGACTGGAAGAGCACCCCCTTATCATCTGTCAAAGAGGCCTGGAGGGTCACCAGCTCGGAGGGAGCCAAGCCAGAGACATGGATTTTCACTGGTTCATCAACAAGGGATGTCCTTGGGGTGACTGTGAGCTTGGCCATTGCCAAAGCAGAGCTCTAGTAGGAATAACAAAGAGAGAGGAGACAGAGAAAGTGAAATTGGGAACACTAAACAATTGAACTACAATGTACTGAACTGTGAGACAGTGAGACAAGTGCCTTAGGTTAGATGATCCAGTCCTCCATCTGCTAAAAGGTGGTAGAATTGCGACACCCTGTTGCACAGTAGACTCACAAGTATGTTCCTATCTTAGGACAGTGCTGGCCAAACTTTTTAACAGGTGTGCCACAAAATAAGCACCTAGCCCCCGGTCTGTGGCTCTGTTCCACATGCCCTGCAGATGCACCTGATAGAGTTTGATTCCTGGTGTACCAGAATGGAGACAGGGATCCATGGCTGCAGAAAGAGGAATAGGGGCAGGGCACTGCAGCAAGAGAAGGTGTTACTACCCCTGCCCCCACCAACAGCCTCCACAGCTCTGCTCCAGGGAGTGCTCTCCTCATCCAAGGCTCGCATACCACACACAGCAGCTATACAGGCCACTTGGGACACACATATCAAGGCTGTCCAACCATCTGCCTGGAGCACACTTGGCTACATCCTGACAGGACCAAGCTAAAGACGATCCTCTCCAAATGGCTGGGAAGAGGCATGCTGAGCGAGCAACAGTCACTGTGGGCCCTGGGGCTGCTCCTGAGTCCTTCACTCTTCCAGTGATAGAGGGGAAGACTGGGTGCACCCAGAGGCCATTCCTCTTCCCCCGAGGTGGGCAGTTCAGGACAGACTGGCAGGGAACTGCCTGAGACAGCATCTACCAGTGCTGCAGGCACGAGCCCAGGGGAGGCATCAGCAACACCTTGCTTTTGGCACCTGATATATATGGGAGACCCACGGCGCTCAGCCTCTGGCTGAAGTTATGGTGACCAGGGAGGCTACCACAGCCCATAGGCAGCCAGCCCAACCATGATCCTGGGATGCTGGTAGCACACAGGACGGGCAAATGGCCTGGAGAAGCAATGTGGCCTCAGCCAGGCTCTGGCTGTTGGGATGATCTTGGCATGGGCCTGCTTCCGTTTTTGGGAAGCCCAAGGTGGTGGTGGAGGGGAAGCAAAGGCAGAGAGCAGCTCTGAACCCAGGGAAACAGGAACATAGAGAGCACCAGTGGTGGTTAGGTCAGTGCTGAATAAGGCCCAGACTTTGTCTGCAGCTGGGCGTAGGCTCATTCCAGGCACAGGCACTTACAGAAGGGCAGTGCAATCCCCCAGTCACCCATTCCCTCAGCCTCTGAGGTGCAGGTGGGGTACATGCTGACCTCCCACCCCAGAGAGATGCTGCCTGCAGACGCTCTGCAATGGGATGTGCTTGGGGCTCTTTAAGAGGAGACTGGACAAGTACCTGGCTGGGGTTCAAAAAAGGGAAGAAGGAGGACCCAGGAAATTATAGGCCTGGGTCCTGGGGAAGCTCTTTGAGAAAATTATCTACCTCGGTCCTGGGGAAGCTCTGTGAGAAAATGATCCAAGTGCACATCTGCGAGGGGCAAGCAGGGGAGTGTACGCTTAGGGGCAACCAACATGGGTCCATTCGAGGTAGGTCCTGTCAGACCAACTTGGTGGCCTTCTACGACTAGGTCACAAAATCGTTGGACACAGGTGTCATGGTGAACGTAGTCTTTCTGCACTTTTGTCACTTCGACACTGTCTCTCACCCCATTCTCGTTAAAAAATTAGGAGATTGTGATGTCAATGCCTACACAGTCGGATGGGTCGCCAGTTGGCTGGAGGGTTGCACCCAGAGAGTGGTGCTGGGCGGGTCATTTTCAACCTGGAAGGATGTGGGCAGTGGGGTCCCCCAGGGCTTGGTCCTCGGGCCCGCACTGTTCAACATCTTCATCAGCGATTTGGATGAGGGAGTGAAAAGCACCTTGTTCAAATTCGCAGATGACACTAAAATGTGGCGAGAAGTGGGCACACTAGAAGGGAGGGACAGGCTGCAATTGGATCTGGACAGGTTACAGGGGTGGGCAGATGAGAACAAGATGGGATTCAATACTGACAAGTGCAAGGTGCTGCACCTGGGGAGAAAGAACCAGCAGCATACCTACAGGCTGGGGAACTCCCTTCTCGTCAGCACAGAGGCAGAAAAGGATCTTGGAGTCATTATAGAGTCCAAGATGAACATGGGCCGCCAATGTGGGGACGCGGTCAGGAAGGCTAACTGCACCTTGTCATACATCCACAGATGCATCACGAGCAGGTCCAAGGAGTTGATCCTCCCCCTCTATATGACACTGGTCAGACTGCAGTTGGAGTACTGTGTCCAGTTGTGGGCGCCACACTTCAAGAGGGATGTGGACAGCATCAAGAGGGTCCAGAGGAGGGCCACCCGCATGATCAGGGGGCAGCAAGGCAGGCCCTACGAGCAGAGGCTACGGGACCTGAACCTGTTCAGCCTTCACAAGAGAAGGCTGAGAGGGGATCTGGTGGCTGTCCATAAGCTGGCCAAGGGAAACCAGCAGGCAATGGGAGAGTTCCTGTTCCCCCGAGCACTACCGGGAGTAACGAGGAGTAACGGCCATAAGTTGACAGAGAGTAGATTCAGGCTAGATATCAGGAGGCACTACTTCACAGTCAGGGTGGCTAGGATCTGGAACCAACTTCCAAGGGAAGTGGTGCTGGCTCCTACCCTGGGAGTCTTCAAAGGGAAGCTAGATAATCAACTAGCCGGGGTTGTTTGACCCCAGCATCCTTTTCTGCCCATGGCAGGGAATCGGACTTGATGATCTGCTCAGGTCCCTTCCAACCCTACCTACTATGAAACTATGAACTATGACCCTGGTTCTTTTTCCTGCCTTGGTCATGGGGTCAGACTCGATGATCTAATAGGTCCCTTCTGACCCTAATATCTATGAGTCTATGAGCAGCCAACACAGAGGCAGCATTGAATCAGAGGCCTAATGGGAAGTAGCAGCTTGGAGAAACTCATGACAGACACAGCAGCACAGATGACTGTGGGGGCTGGGGAGTTTTGCAGGCCAGAGGGAATATTTACTGATAGCACCGGGGGCTCATCTGCCAGTTCCCTCCTTGGAAAGTTTTTACTGCCACTACTGTGTAACAGGAGAGCCCCTGGAGTTGTAAGTGCTAAATTTCCCCATGGCTTAGAGCAAAAGTGATTGAGAGTTTACTGAGTAGGGCTAACTATACCTCCTTTAATAGTGCTGCACCTAAACAATTCAGGGACTGGTGCTCTATCAACAGCTTTTACACACAAAGTCAGAGTTCCTATTTGGGCTCTTTCACAACTGAATGTTAACTGCTCACTGATACCTTTGTTTTTATTAAATGTTTGTGTTGTTCCTGAACAGACCCACTAAGGCAGGATCCATATATTAAAGCGAGCTCCTGGGGCAAAACGCTCCCATCACATCTTCCTTCCAAGGCCCCCTTTACAAACATTCATGCATTCAGCCTTGGCACTCTTGTGACAGACAGCGCTATCACTAGGGGCTATTTATGCCACTGCAGGAGGCACTGGTGCACAAGGGGCACTTTAATGTTTGTTACATCCTCCAGGCCAACTCACAGGAGATGCACTAATGCCTGCAAGCACTAACTGTAACCTGTTAAGTTTTTCTTATGTTCCAACTGCACATTTAGTGCCAGCATTAGCATTTCTAGTTCAATGTGCAGCGCACGAAGAATAGAAAACTTACGTGACTCAACCAAAGCCATGCTGCAGAACCAGGGTTAGCACCAAAGCTGCTCCTACCTCGATATCCATGCTCAATCCTAGAAAAGCTGGGAGTTTCCTATGTACTGAACCCTGGAAATGGCACAAAGCCAGAAGGACGGTTCTCAGATTTATATGGGGGAATCGGGGGAGGATAGGGTCACAGGCCAACAGGCTAAAGAGATTGGGAATAGCAAACATTGAGGCAGAGAGCAGCTCAAGGTACATGTGCTCAGAATATGCTCAAGGTACATGTGCTCAGAATATGCATAACAGATGATATACACAACAGACAATAGCATTTACTTAGTAATAAAACCCTTCAGAGACAGATAGCCAGATAACAAACAGAGACATTAACAATGTGAAGCAATACACTGAAGAAACCTTAACTCCGGGCGGGGGGTTGGGGCAGGGGGCTCTCAAATCAGTCTTTAGTCTCACAAAACAGTCAGTTGTTGTGTACCCGATCTCATCTGAGCCCTGCTGCAGCTCCTGAGTCTCAGCATGCAGTCTTGCTGGCTCCTGCTTCTCTCCCTCTCTCCCGCTCTCTCCTCTCTGAGCTGTTTCTCTACGTGCAATTCTGGCTCCCCTTCTACTTCCTTCCTCTTTCCCCCCAGCAACCTGCTGGGAATGGTAGTTCCTGCCACAATGTTCTAGTGCATTGCACCCATTTTGGCAACCTAGACTGACTGCTGGTGCCCAAAGCCAGCACCGGGCTTTCTTTAGAACATTCTTTGTCACACTGATACAGCCACAGTCCTACGGGATGTATTTGATTGATGGCTAGGGACAGAAATTGCACATCAACCGGTGTGATTGGAAACCAGTTCAAATCTGTAACACAACAGAAGTTCAGTGCACATAAACCACTTGCAAAATGGCCAAAACTGGCTTAAGATAAATGAGGATGGATGTACTATCAGACTGAACTAATTGAGGTTAAATTGGTTAATCGAACTTCTGTCCCAGAACCTGTCCACATTCAAGTTAACTCAGTCCCCCAGCATCCTGGGATGCTTTGCACCTCCCTCACAAACCCCTCCTCCTCACAGGATGGGCAGGCTAGCCTTGGCCCAGGCTGTCTGCCCCAGCTGAGCAGGGAAGTGTGCTCTAGCACCCCCCAGCATCTAGCCTGGCATTTCTGGAATCAAAAGTGAATGTCTGTTCACTTGCTTATTGGTTCAATCTATGCAGCATAGACTAACCTGTGAAGATTGAACCAATTCAGCCTTGGACTTTTTGACTGTATGTACTTGGCCCATTTGATCACACAAATCCATACACGGATCATGCACACGCACACATACACACTCCAGAACAAGACAGGTTCCCATGTCCCTTCTCTCTTTCTAATCACAGTGTGTTCCTAGCACCTTTCACCCCCTTCCTCTTCTGTCCTTAGAGGCAGCAGAGGAGCACTGGCCCCCTGCCAAGAAAGGGACAAGTTTCTAAATTTGACATGGAACCAGAGGTAAAACTAGCATTGATTTCAGCACATGTTTTGGCTCCTGGACACCTTAGAAAGTCCCACTCAGAAAACTTCTTGATCATTAGACCCCTGAATGCCTCTCACAAATCTGGCCCTCCACACCCTGCTGCAGCAGACCTGGCATCCAGTTCTTACCTTTGCCCTCCACACTTCACAAACAACTCTGACTCCTGTGTTCAAAATCTCTAAGTCTGATTTGGTCTAATTACAAGTTAAAGCAACTCCTCCTCCCCACAGCATCCCCTGTAAAGCTGTAGTCACGGCAGGCTAGGGGTAGCTCTGCAGTGTCAGGAACGCCCTACATACCTGAGGACTCCCTATTTCTCTGAAAACAGAGCGGGTTGTAAGGCTGCTTCTGAGCTAAAGGGAAAAACGCTGTTGGGACTAGCAGACAAACTCCTCCTATTTGTCCAACCTCCTTTCAATCTTCTCCCTCCTCTTTTCCATAGTCCAATTCCCTCCCTGCCCTCACTTGAACAGAAGAAAAGCAGGAAGCAATAGGGCAAGTAACAAAAAGAGGAGGGTTTCAGCACAGGAAGAAGAAATGTATTGGGTAACAGGATATTGAGAAAGTAACTCTTTCCTTCCTGAGTAGATGCGAGTAGTGATTTTACAGGGAAAAAGACTAAGTTTGAGTTTGAGTTAATGGTCCTGAGATAGTGTTTCAAAGATCAGCAGCGTTATGATCCTCTACGCTTCTGCCAGGGCTGGGAAGCAGAGGAGAGAGAGGGTGAATTTGGAGGACTAGCTACATTTAACCATGAAGTACAAAACACAATTATATATTTAAGCAGTTAATGAACAATCTGTCAGGTTATAGATTGCTATTTGATGGATTATGCATTTGAATAGAATGGTTTGATCTCATTCACAAGTTAGGGTGGGAGGAACGAGTTAAATTAAGATGGATATCTGTTTTCACTAAAGGAAATACAGTATGATTAAAACTTGCTCCTTTGACCTGTGGACAGAGCTGTTGACTAAAATATAACAGAGGATTAGATAAAGAAAGAAAGAAATAGAACAGACATTTAACAATATCAAATTCACATGCTGGAAGAACATCTCAGTAATTTAGCTTTTTTCTCTCATACTTTTTGGTGGGGT